ACTGCCTTCGGTTGATCATTTTTAAGACTTGCAATTGGAAGCTCTAAACTTTCGAGAATATAGCACTAGGTGCATGTGAGCGTAGAAATTATGCAACCGAATTAAACGACATTTCAAATCAAATAAATTCTTGCATTTAATTGTCCTTATTTTAATTTTAATAAAAAAATATTTTTTTACTTAAACTCTATCATTATATTTTATTGAAAAAAAATCAAAACGTTTGATAATAAATACATAATATATTTGATAAAGTTAAGATATATATTATAATTTACATTTTTAATAATTATAATTAGATATTTTAATTTCTTTCTTTTCTCATGTTTAATTTTAGCTATTTATCTATTTTATAAAAAAAGTACTTAAATAATTCGATAGTAATATATTTTTAATAAAAATAAAAAATTTTAAATTTAAATCATATAATACTTAAGTGAAGTAAATTAAAGAATTAAAAAAATTATCTTTTATTATACAATTTTAAAAAATATATATATACATATATATCACTAAGAGTCTTTTTTTTAAAAATTTTAAAAATTAAGATAATATAAAAAAATATAAATAATTTTTAAATTTTCAATTTAAATTTTTTTTATTTTGGTTGTACAATTGGAGACAATCATCTCTCATCTCTTATCTCACTTTATCCACATGTCATGTGACTTGAATTCATGATATTTTATTTTATTTTTTAAAATTATTACTGAATCATTTAAGTGGTTAAAAAAAATTTTTTTAAAAAAAACAATTGTTTTTATTAGGGGGAGAGTATTTAGACGTTTGACATGCATAATTGTGGTGGCCATCCGACGGTGATGTCCCCTTTGCTTATCTCAGGACTCACCTCATATGGCAGACACCATCTTTATCACCATGGACGGTGCTCCTTCAAACCTGGCCTCGTGTTGGCGGGCCCGGTATTCCACCGTGGTAGCACGATGACAGACCACGTGGCTTTCCCTCATTGAGTGAGACTTCGATTCCCCAAAAGCGTGCAGGGCCCCACTATCTCCATGCCTGAAGGAAAATTAGAACACGGCGCCACGTGTCGTTCAGGGAACGTCATGATGACACGGAAAGTGTGATTTTAGTTCCTATGATCATGTCATGTGGGGGAGTAGGGGCCCACGCACGATGGGCTGTATGGGGGGCGTTCGGTCCACGTCAGCCTCAGTCTTTCTTTTACCACGCCTTTGCTTTTTGCTTTTGGCAACGTCACGGTTCAACCTTGGGGTTCCACGTCGAACAGAAGCTGACATCACCCTTCATTTACTACTTTCACCACCCCCGATGTGATCCACGCCACTTCTCCGGCAGTCATACAGGATTTCCGAACTACCCTATTATTTAGCTCCGGCACCGTCCCTCATTCGCCGTCTTCGCTCGTGAAATTCACGTCCCTGAATGACACAAATAGAAAGTTCCCAAGTAAGCTCATCAACTTTTTCATCTTTGGCAATTTAGCCCCTGTAGCATAAATTGCGTAGGGAGAAATTTTTGGGCTTTCGTTTTGAGCCTCTCTATAGTTTCTTCAACAACAGTGTGTTGTTTGAACCTAATTTATGTTTCAGTGTTGTTGATATTTATCATGATATATCTAACCTAATTCACGGGATCAACAGTTAAAATTATTTATATTACTTGTTAACATGATTTTTTCAAAGTTGGTTTAATAATATATTAATTAAGATACCTTTTTCTACCCTATATCTTAGAGTGTGCCTTTATTCATTGTTATTCTTATATTATCACAAGTTTTGAGGTGTTCATATACGAATTTACTTTATTTAAGTTTTCTCTATAGTTATAGGTAATTTTAATAGACAAACTATTAAATTAGATTTTAAGTAAAAACATGTGTTCGGTATGATTTCACATCAATGAAAGGAAAATAGAGATCTCTCACATTCATTTGTAGCTCATGACTATTGTAGTTCACTTTGGATTAATTCCTATGAGCATATCTCCCATAAAAGAAAAAGGAAATTATGAGGACTTAATTGCTAATAATGATAAGTGTGAGAAAAATGTACAACATTCCTTTTTTTTTTTTGTGTAATAGAAAATGAAAAAGGGTAGTATATTTTAAATTGTATTAAATTGTATTATATTAATAATTTAATAAAAATTAAACTCTCTAATATTAAAATTTTCACTTATTTAATAATTTATTATTTTATGATTGTAATTTGTAAATAAGAGTTTTCAAATAAAAAAATGTCAAGATATTAGAAACACTACCAGATATCAGCGCGTGGGCTTTAAAATCCTCTCTACTAACTCGGGATCCCAAAAAATAAAAACCTATGTAAGACAGTACTTAATGACGTAAGCAACCCCACGCCTCCCCACTCTATTATTAAATTCTTTCCCCATTCACACTACTTGCTTCCGTTGACATCACCAAGCACATCTCCTCCTCTCTTCACTTCCGATGCAAGGTCTACGAAGTTGTTCCAACAACGCCGTACGGTTCGACCTGGCACCTCCCTCAACCACCACGAGCACCACCATGAGCGCCACCAGCGGCTGCCTCTCCATAGACGAGGATGAATCCGCGGAGACCCGAATCCAGCGGCTGATATCCGAGCATCCGGTGATCATCTTCAGCCGATCATCGTGCTGCATGTGCCACGTTATGAAGAAACTCCTCGCCACCATCGGGGTTCAACCCACCGTCATCGAACTCGACGACAACGAGATCGCCTCCCTCCCATCCCCACCTGCCCAAGAGAGCCTCTCCTCCAGCAGGAATCCTGCTCCCGCTGTCTTCATTGGCGGCACGTGCATCGGTGGCCTCGAGTCCCTCGTCGCCCTCCATCTCTCCGGCCACCTCGTCCCCAAACTCGCCGAAGTTGGCGCCTTTATGGGTATGATATAATTATGTCACACATCCATATAATGGGGTTTTCATTATGACTGTCATAATTAATTATTGTAAACTTATTGTAGGTTTCTAATGAACATAAAATTAAGATGGCAGTCCAATCTGGAAATCAAAAATCAAAAAAATATTATATGCTTTGGTTTTCGTATGAATGAAAATTCATATTACTGTAATGTAATATTTGATAAGATTGGAATGAACTAGTTTTCATCCGTACTCAATTTAGTGTTTTATAAAAGAGTAATTTCTCAAAATTTTTTTTTTATTTGAAGAGATAAAATTATATCTAAAAAAAAAAAAGCTGGTTTCCAGGGGGTTGATCTGTGACAAGGGGGAGAATGAGGAATGGTGGTCAATTGGGGGAGCCGGGATGTGGGGTCTATTTGGAAAAAATAGAGGAACAGGGACCGTTGGATTTTGTTCCTGATAGGTTCTAGATGGAAAGGAATGGTTAAGAATGCAATCAGGGGGAGGAATGGATTTTGGATTTTCTTTTTCTGTTTTTTGGGATGCCTTCTTTTTTGTGACAATGACGAGCTTCCAGCAGGCACTGTCAACAATATTAACTGACAAAATTCCCCCAATTATTACCGTCACAAAAGAAGAAAAATCTTTGGTTTTCAGGGTTTTTTTTTTTTTTTTTACTTTTTTTATTGATATTTTTTTAATTTTCGTTTTTAATTCTTACGCTGCTCTTTATTGATGTTGTCCAAGCATAGGAACTCCAAAACAAGTTTTATAGATGTTAGAAAAATAATCAATCAACTGTTGTTATTGTTGACGTATTTGTTGGTAATAGAAGTATTCCATTTACTGAAAACTCCTCTTTTTTTTTTTTGTTTATTAATTAATAAAATTAGCTTCTTAATTATATCAAATTGATATAAGGAGTGCATCTTTAAAATTATTTTAATAGAGATTATTTTGAATGTGTAAAAATTGACCAAAAATACCTTAAACACCCAAATTCAAAACCAAAAAAAAAAAATTGTATTCACCATAAAAAATATGTCATGTATTATGAATCAATTATTTCTATAGCATATCGTTAATAATAGAATCTAGTATTCCATTGATATGATTAATTATTTTGGCCTAAAGAGTGTTTTCTTTTATCTCTTATATATAATATTTGATTATTTAATGTTCCCTCGTTTGGGAAGAAGCCAGGGGGACGGAAGGGCCGGAGACATATGATCTGTAATTAGTTATTTTAATGGAGTTTTTGGCCATGCGTATAATAACTCTCGTGATTAATTAATTGGAAAATGGGAATCTTTAATTAGGGTTATGAAGGTGGGAGTGTGATCTTAGCTGATCTTTATTTTCTTTTTCAAGTTTTTTTTCCCCCTTTTCTCTCCCTCTCTCTAAATTTGGAGTTATTAATTAGAGAAATGCTAGTACATCCTCTCTATATGGTCTTAACCAATAATAAAAGCTATATTTTGCTAATTAAGAAAAAAAAAATCCTGTTATTCTTTCATAAATATTGTGTAATTTATATTGCATAAAATTGGCCATCAAATAGCTAGTGGCGGGCTCTTCCCCTTTTTAAGGATCACAATTTTAGTCGGATTGCAAAATCATAAATTCTTATTCTTTTAATATTCTTTCTATAATTGCCACCCTATTAGATAAGAAATTAAAGTTAATATATTTAAATTGAATTAAAATTATAATTAATCATCTCATAAAAAAATTATAATTAATCATAAAAAAGTTATTTAAAAAATATAAATATTTTTGCAATTCAAACAAAAAAACACTAAAAATATTGAAAAGCTAATGCCATATGATTCAATTATAAAGAAAGTGTTGGAGAAAGCACTCCTATAAAAAGCTTATGATGCTTCATTGATTGTAGTACGTATAGAATGAATACTCCTTTTATAATTCTTTTAGAATAACTATCTTTATTTATTTCTTAATTAATATAAGAATTAAAAATAAAAAAAAAATTTTTTTGAACTATGTGTCAAAAGTGGAATTCGAACTTCGTACTCACCAGGAAAAGAGGAATTATATATTTAAAATGATGTAAATATCACTTAACTCGAAGGATCAGATGTAATAAATTTTTGTTAATTACTTTTAACAATTAAACAAAATATTATGTCACGTTAATAAAAAATTGCGGGACAGATAACCATGGCCCGCAAGAACTAGCTGGTAAATTTTCTCAGTTCCTAAATCTGTCAATGTCAAAGGAAAAACAAGAAACATCACCCAGAATTTGAAAGGAGCTCAAATTGTCAGCATGCCATCGGACAGCATTCCAGGATGCATCGTGCCACGCCTACACGTCCAAGTCGAACTACCTAACTCAGTTCCCCCTTTCCCCCACTTGCACTTCCACAGCGCGTTCACGCGTGGACACAATTTCCTTTATTCCAAAGACAGAACTTTAATATTAATTTCCCTTATATTTAGAAATTAGCATCGTATACCCCAGTAATAATAAAATAATCCAAATGGAAACGTCCTAATATGGACCTTACCCTATATGATACATAAACAGATCTCAATGTACATTTTAATATTTGTAGTTGGGCAGTACTAAAAAAGTTATGTAGATCTTTCCCATTTAGGAAAAATTGGGGTAAAATGCCAGGGAGGTCAATGGGATTTTGCCCTTTTTTTTTTCTCCGTCAGGATGCGTTTGTTAAATGGAAAAAGTCTGCAACTTCTCAGAGTTTCTTGCCAGCATTTGATTAAAAAAAGAGAGCTCTACTTCCTTAGACAAATTTTGCTTCACTTTATGGAGAATAAAGAGCAAGATGTTTAACTTTTTCATCCCTATCAAAAGCATAGGGAAATGACTTCCTCCCTCACATTTCAACTTATAAAAATGCAAAAGCAAACATTGATAAATTTGCATTAACTTTACCAAGCAAACAGGCCTTAATTAGACCACTAAAGAACCCCCTTCCCCCAAAATTCCCCCTGTTTCAAAAGGAAAAAAAAAAAAACCACTAAAGAAAAGAGCATGCTCTCTCATTACCTTTTTGATTCTTGGAATTACACATGGCAGGCATATATTTGGCAGTGATATTGCATCATTTGATGGACTCCATCTGGAATCTTTGCATACTGTGGGAAGAATTTTGCTGCCTTAAGAGCTGTGGTGAAGGATAAAATATAGAAAATATTGAGTTTGTTGTTCATTTGTTATGGTGTTTCTTTTTGATATGTTATTGGTCATGGTGTTAAGGTACGTACGTAAATAATAAAATACTTAAAAATTATTTTTAATAATGGAAATTTTTTTTCCTAAACCCAACACAACCTAATGTAAATGTAAAGGGGAATCTCTTTCTGATTCTCTATAATTTAGGGTGTTATTCAAAAGTGGAAAAGAAATGGTACCCCATTGAAAGTTCCTTAATGGTAGGGTTTTAGTACTCAATCTAAAGATAACAAACAAAAGCATCTTTGAGCACTTTTATCACTTCAATCACCCTTTTGCTTTTGTTTTTGATGGGTGAAGTCATATGGCTGCTTCCCTTTGCTCTTTAATAATTGATGGGGCTCCCACTTTACTTGTATATTTATGCAACTATTTTATATTCTCCTAATTTTCATACCTAATTGGCACCCATGATTTGGTTCAATATTAAATTCACGCAAAGGCCATTGTTTATGTAGTAAAACCTCCCCAGTTATGGCCTTCCCCAGAATCTTCTAATCTTCCTTGATCAATCCTAAAATGCCACCCCACCCCCATTGCTCCACAAAATCATAGCTTACATCAGGGAAGAAACCAGATGAACTGTAAAGAAATGTTTTTTGATCAGCATATTCTCTCCTAATAAAACAACATATGTATGTTGTTCTGCAATCACCAACTACATTAGCTGACGAGCTCCTATCAAGGGGTGTCTTTATCGATAAAAACTCGAGATTCTAGTGTTTTAAATAGTTAAGAGCTCGAACCGGACTTTTAAGTCCAATGGTTCGACTTCAAGCCTTAAGTGCTTGGGTGAGGTGATCAGAGTTTCGAACTCTATCACCGTCGTAAGCTCCACCAAATGCGATCCAATGGCCGCGCACCTCATTTGAGGGGGTGAAATGTTCACTCGATCTGAGGATCGAATTTTCATGTGCTAACAACTAATTCATACTAACTTCATAACCATTACCGTTGTAAAATATATATATATATATAGTTGAGAGCTCATGCTTTAAGTTAGATATATCAAATTTGATTCTTAAAATAGACGAGGAGAGATTACGAAAAAATAAGTTATATTTTTTATTATATAACTCATAATTTGATATTCAATAAAAAAAAACCCCAAAAAGTAGAAAGTAACTCGGACAAAAATTGTATGAAAGGATAATCTGTTCTTTTTATTTTCTAAGAAAAATCAATGGCATGGATTTGTCAGAGCTTCAGAATGCAACTTGACAAATGAATGTCTCCTTTGTAGCATGCTACACATTGAGGGCACAAAATTCATTTTCGCCCCTACAATTTCCCTGTTGTGATAACTGATTAACTCATTCTACTCTAATTCTTGTGTGAAAAAAAAAAAAAAAGGAACGTGTCAGAGAAACATTTGATTTATGAGTGCTATAATCCACCCCAGTTCATGAACCTCTTGACCTCGTCGTACAATACCAAGATGGCTGCAGCACCGGTGCTTCGAAACATGTTAGATAGTGCTCCGCGATAAAAAGAAGCTATCCCCTCTGTCCTGTAAATTGTCTTCCAGCAGTCAAGTGTGCTTAGATACATAGGTTGTTCCAGACCAGATTGCATCATTATCCTCCTTCGAACCGTGTCAAGTGGATATGACAACAATCCAGCAGATGTTGTAACAGCCTGAGCCACCACCCAACGTTTCCACAACGCTAATTCGGATTTAGATTCTTCTGATAAAATCTCCTTCATTGTGTCAAAGCCTCCAAAATATAGGCCACGGTGAACGATCATTCCTTGTAGGGAGGCAGGAAGGCCTCTGTAAATTCCACAAATTCCATCTTTCTTTAGTATGGTAGTCAGGAAATGGTAGATACCTTGGAATTGACGAACCTCACTTCTTCCAATGTCAGCAGCAAGGCGGGTGTGTGCAATATCAAGTGGGTAGATAACGATCAATGTTGTGCAACCAGCTGCAGCTCCAGCGATAAAGTTAGCAGATGCCCCAGAGAACATATGACCATTTTGAGAGTTTCCACTTCTTAATATGTTTCTGTAAAGATCCTGCACACAGACAAAAATAAGTAATGAACACAGGTTTCTTAACACTTATCAAATAATAGCATAAAATGACTGAATAACAATGTTTTAACTTTAGGCTTTCACTTTACCTCCATTTAACAGGTTTTAGGCGTAATAAATTCATCAGATCCTGGTTTAGTTATAAACATAAATATTGATTGTATAAATCATCATTACTTGTTACGTGGACTGACAACCTCAACCCTGTGGTGCATCCAAGTTTAAATCCACTAAGGCTTGTTATTTAAGACATTTTTGACATAATTTTATTCCATTGATTCTACTGACGCAAGGCATGTCCTTTGTCCACCCAAATCAAGAACAAAAATGTTAGCTTAGCTGACCCAAAGGAAAAGAAAAAGAAAAAGAAAAAATCCCCACAAATTTTAGCATCATAAATTAGCTTCTTAAAGAAGAGAACCATATTCCAAAACTCTAATGCAAAGAGAAAGGCTTGAGAAGACAAATAACTGGTTCTCATGATTTGTACAAATGATGCAAATTAGTATCTTAACAAATGGTTACCATTTACACAACAGAAAGCTAACAACCACTCATGCATGCACACACAGACACACAAAAGAAGAAAGAAAGAAAAACAGGTGGAGGACTTCCAAGTTGGCACAAAATTCTGAGGAAAAAGACATTTACCATGAAGCCAGTGTGAACTTCACAAAAGAAAATTTCATTTAACTAACAGGGAAATCAGTTTCCAAAACAATTCAGCATCCACCTCAATCATAAAAAAATGCCTTTTGTCTAAAGCAATTGAAAGGAAATTAGGGAAAAATCATTTTAAAAGGTTTAGCTACGTATCAAAGCCATGATGAAAGAACAGAATTCTTCTGCTAGCAACCCTGAAAACTATATCCTTGGCAAATTCACCACATGCTTCTTAGTTTTGACACTCTTCCACAAACTAATATCCTACGGATTTGTTGGTTCAACCAAACATGCCCTACCTATTTCTTACAACAGCTGTCTCGGTTATCTAGGTCACATCTCTTGTAATGGGAGTAGGACACTAAGCCTTTTCACCCTTATAATTCCAACCCATGATTATCACTGTCCATACTTGCCTAGTGGTTCCACACTTTCAATTCTCAAAAAGAATCTATACTTTTTTCTCAATAGACTGCAACAGGCTTCTCAAAAACCTTGATGGTCCTCAACCATGACAAGCAATAACCCTTAAAAATCATTTCTTGAATAACAAAAGCATCGCTCTCTACTATCAGATGTGAAAATTATTGTTGTTTTTCATACTTGCCAACAGTTCTCTTATATTCAAGTTAGCACATAACAGGCTAGCTTAAGAAAAAACCCTGCAAAAGACTGGGATTTTTATCAGAAGGGAAGATACCAAGTCAGATTTCCTCAAGTCTCCTCTCCTTTATGGCTTTATCCATCAATTAGACATTCTAAGGGCTTGAAGAGAAGGTAATCCTAAACATACACATCCCTTCAAAATTAAGAGGTGGATGGATTAACATCTTAACCTCCTAATGCCTATGAACAATATCCCCTATACCAGTTAACTGATAACTGCCTCCAAACAACCTGCAGTAGGCTATCATAATTCACACCGAAGAAACATTTCACCATTTATTTCATATGCATAGTCTATGCGTCCCTGAACTCCAAACTCCCAGCAAACCCATCTCCAGTAATCATCCCCTCCCCAAAACTTAAACACCCATGTGAACAAATTAATTCACTTCCAAAATGTCTGGAATTATCACACATTTTCTTTCATCTTAAAACAAGAATACCAACAAGAATTAAAATTTTAGCACGGAAAAGATTCTGGTTATCTCGTTACCTTGAGCGAGAAATTAAGAGCAACAGAAGGATAATATCTGAGAACGCTGCTGCCATTGCCTCTCCAGAGCGAAAGAAAGCCTTCATCCCTGACCGTACGGACGATGCAATCCAGCATGCCCTTGAATCTCCGACGCCCACCTCCCACAATTGCCAGATTACTCTCTTGGGTCTGCAGCAATAACTTTGCCCTCTCAATTGGGGCCACGATGGTGTGCACCATGCCGCCCATCAACGCCCCCGCCAACAGATCCCGGTGGAAGGTAACCAACCATTTGTTCTGCCCCCGTAATCGTGACCGGCCCTTGTTTCCAGGGTCATCATCGTCTTCCTTAATCATTCTATACCTTGTCCCCCAAACCGATATCCTTCTCTAAATCCTACACATAACCTGGGAAACCAGAACACGAAAACCCCTTTCGTTCAACCGTGGGTAAAAATTAATGGGTTTCTATGAATGGAATCATAATCATTGAAATTTCATTTTCATTACTCTGGTAACAAAGGCAGAACCTTTAATAATTGCTTCTCTCCTACTCCAACTTTCTCTCTCACTCCTAATCGTAAAGGAACGAAACTTATCAATTTGCGTAATATCATTATAGGACATGTGCCTTTTATCTTCATCCCTTCTCTTCTGTTCTGCATATGCGACCTTTAAAAATATA